CTTCGCGCGAGGAGCTGATTAACATTGCTCTATTAGACCGTCGCAATCGATGATATGTGTCGACTGCCTCACGGCGATGACGTGCAGATGGGTAATATGTTTGAGTAGGCGTTTTTACTCCAGCTACACTGGGATTCCTCACCGATCTACGCATATTTCGTAGCATCATTGATACTGACCCGTCTTCCGTACAGCATATATTAGCGTTGCAACCACGCGCGCCTCCGATTCGTGACATTTTGGGAGCTATGCGCTCAAATGAGATTATAGACAAAACCCTCCCGACTAAGATGGTGCTCATCTTGCAGATCACGATAAATCCTGGTCATGTCTACCATAACATGTAAGCACTATAGATACTGTGTGCGGTGTTGTTTTGGAACGTAGCATAAGTAGATCACAGTATACATGTATTATATGTTGCTTCGCTTTGAGTAGAAATTCTAAGCCCATCGCAGCGCAGCGGAGGTGGTCGGCCCTCTCTACACCAACCAACCATGCCCTAGCGTCCGCGGAGCGGGCGCCCAGAGCGCTAGTTTACCGCTTCCTAACCTTGCAGCGTGTCTGTCCGTCCGTCCGTCCGTCTGTCAATCAGTCCGTCCGTTTCCTCTCTTGCTGCTTTTGCCTGCCTTTTCGCATGGCTACACTAGGCCTTTCAAATATAGTTTCGTCCCATCTTACCGACCGCGCCTACCTTTCTGACTCGACCTAACTATGATAAAACTACAAATATATCCAAAAGCGTGACACAATTAACTCGCGCCCTGATTGGGCAATACCTACCGACCTGCGACACTGACTGGATCTGTCGCACGATCAGACCGCCTCTCTCCCTCGCGATTGGACGTAAGGTAAACATTTCTGCCGAGCACGAAACGCATCGATTGGTTGCAAACAGCCTGGCGAGCTGCGTTGACAATTCTAAATCTACATTTAGCTACGCAAAACCTGTCGTATGTGCGTCAAATCGGGCACGCTAACCACCGCGTTTTGTAGGGGCTTTGCAAATATTATTTTTACTTCTCCTGGCACTCTCCACTGTCAGCGTGCAAGAAGGCGCGCGGCCGCACGGTCATTGTGCTATCTGCTCCCGTGCACCCCACCCGACGAATGCATGCGCGCACGATACATAGTCTTTGAGTCACTTTTATTGCATGTAAAGTATGTATTTGTTTGGAAATCTGATAATAATATATTAAAGATAAGCCAAATATTAATAATATAAAACATTTTACTATTTTGCTTAATAATAAATATCAGCCTTTTATTACCGTGCTATTGGCTAGTATTTGGACGAAAGTAATTGGTTAAAACAATATATTTTGCTAACATACTCACAGTTTGCAAAATGGTGGACCCTACGTGCAAGCAATGCGAGGCGAAGATTGACCCGCTTCTGCTGAACCCGCAGCGGTCTACGACGGATGCACGGGCGCGCTGCGTCTGCTGCGGGAAGCTACAGTACGGTTACGCACTCCGTACAATCATCGGGCGGGAGATCGTGCGGCGCTGTATTGCCTGCGAGAACGGCCCAAAAGCGGTTGAGCTTTGGGAGGAAAAGCCCCCACCACCCGAGTCGGCCGAAGTGCGCCGCCAGAAAAGCCTGGCGAGCGTCAAGAAGGCAATGGGTCCTGAAAGGTACCCCAGAAAAAAAGAGGCGCAGCCGCCTTCGCAAGCTGACCGCCCGAAATGTCAAGTACATCGAGTAAAGAAGCAGCAGAAGAGCAAGTAATTGAAATATATACCCTTTTAGGCCCCCATTTTCCTACCTATTTTTGGCATTTGTATACTGGCTGACGGTACGAGGCTTGGAGACGCACATACGGTAAACTGACTATGGCGCTGCCAATAGTGTTGACGCACCTACAGAGGGTAGCGCGTTTCATATAATAATTAGCGCATGGTATCTACTGTGAGCCCTTGCAAGCTGACCGTCCATTTCTGCTTGCGCGTTACAATAGATAGAATGTACACTCGCTCACTTGGATACATGCAAACCATGATATCTGTGCCATCAGCGCTCACAGCGTACGTTGCATTAATGTGCGCTCACAAATTGAGACTACAGTATCGAGTGAGCACTACACACGACGATTAACTTGCTGTCTACATCGATACGAGCACGTGTGCGGTAGTGCAAACCATACCGGTGGGTGTGGTAAGCAGAACTGTCTGTACGCAGTACTTTAATTTAGCGCCCTGTCCATAATGGGCGAGATAAGAGCTCGGTTGAGTCGCGGGTGGCTATAATGTGTACCTGCCGCGCGCGTATATATTGTTTTTCCTACTGCTAACAGAAGCCTGGTCAGTCGGCCTGTATCAGGCTGCCTGCATTACCGCGGGTATGACCTGTGCCTAATCAGCGACGCGCTTGATCATATAGTCGGATGCATAATAAGCGTAAGTACTGTAAGCGAGCACGACGATGCGAAAGTACCGAGATTGCAGCAGTGACTCAATACATGGGTGTTATTTATCACGACCACACCATTCGCGACATTGCGGAATAAACACGGACATATACAATAGCACGCCGGGCTGCTAGCTAGACACCGAAAGTACTTTATCTAATGTACATAATCTACTTTTAGATTCAAGCCTAAGATATCTATGATCTGATAATTTGTCTACAGCCATGTGGCTTCGTATGTTCGTCATACATATCGGAGCCAGTAAATGCCAATCGGAAAGGATCTACGCCACTCGGTCAAGCAGTAGCTGTGCAAATCAGTCAGAAAATACGTCAGCTATACATGCAAGATTAATACAAGCGGAAGATAGTGGAAAGACTCTTCGGTAATATCATAAAGAGCTCAGCGGGACAATTTCAAGGCATAATATTGGTGTTTGGGGCGATCATTAGCAAATAGTACCTGTCCTAAATGATACTTTGCGCGAGGAGCTGACCAAACCTTGCTCTAATAGACCGTCGCAATCAATGATATGTGTCGACTGCCTCACGGCGATGACGTGCAGATGGTAATATGTGTGAGTAGGCGTATTTACTCTAGCTACACTGGGATTCCTCACCGATCTACGCATATTTCGTAGCATCATTGATACTGACCCGTCTTCCGTACAGCATATATTAGCGTTGCAACCACGCGCGCCTCCGATTGGTGTCATTTTGGGAGCAATGCGCTCAAACGAGATTATAGACAAAACCTTCCCGGGTAAGATGGTGCTCTTCTTGCAGATCACGTTAAACCCTGGTCGTGTCTACCATAACATGTAAGCACTATAGATACTGTGTGCGGTGTTGTTTTGGAACGTAGCATAAGTAGATCACAGTATACATGTATTATATGTTGCTTCGCTTTGAGTAGAAATTCTAAGCCCACCGCAGCGCAGCGGAGGTGGTCGGCCCTCTCTACATTAACCAACCATGCCCTAGCGTCCGCGGAGCGGGCGCCCAGAGCGCTAGTCTTAAACATCTACTGCAGCAACCTGTCTGTCCGTCACACTAACTTGTCGTGCCTGTCACGCTTTTCCGGACAAATCATTGGATAAAATAATTTAAATATTCCTACTGGCTGCCGAGCGCAGCGAAGGTGGCCCCGATTGGCCTAAAAGCTGCCGAGCACAGCGAGGCGGCCCAAAGCGGCACCTTCTGCAACCCTGCGGGCCTTTGGGCCCGCCTGAGTAAAATCTGCCAGCCTACCATGCGAGTAGTGAAGCGAGCCGTAGCGAGCGGAACGGAGGCAAAACACAAGGAACGACATTCATTCTTACCCGTCGCGTAGCGGCGGCACTCGGCTAGTTGAAATCAACATTCATTCTTACCCGTCGCGTAGCGGCGGCACTCGGCTAGTTGAAAGTACTTCGAAGTAGCATCAACTGCAGATAGTTCCCGCTGCTTGACAGCCTCTAGCATCAACTGCAGATAATTCCCGCTGCTTGACAGCCTCTATTAATACATGTACGGGATACGAGAAAAAAGCCATCAAATCGCCGCCACACGCTTAAGAAACGTACAGTTGCATTTGCTCGATAATCTTGATTTTATGTGACTCAATTTGGCAGTTTTGCTATTTTGGACGTCGAAATATTATATGAGCAATTTGCTTTACTCTTCTACTTTTAAGCCTTTAGCTACTTTGAGCGCAAATTTTGCTTTCTAAAAAGCAAATCAACAGGTGTACAGTACGCACGGCTAACTCAGCTGTTTATTTTCAGGCTGTCGTTTAAAGTGCAAGTTGCTATTAAGCGACAGACCAGGCGCGGATGCTCCCGTAACAGCACAAGGTCAGTCTTAGCAGGAGATAGCAACTACCGTAAGGTAGGTTGCCGACATCGCTTTAATTCGTTTGTCGTGTAACCCTCACTAGTTGGCATTCAAATGATCGGGGTATAAACTTAATTAAATGGAGGATAGTCTAAAAACGTCACTTGCTGCTCACATATGTTCGGAGATAAACGAAAATTATAGCCTTCAAAAGTCGACCAAATGCAAGTGCTTTCATGATCTGATGTCAGCTTCACACGCTTAACGTCGCGCGCTTGCCAGGCTGATGTACCATATCGGACTATGGCAAACAAAGTAGATGCTGCTGCGAAGCAGCAACACGCAATCTAATACAATAAACAACAGAAATTTAGAACTACTAATAGCATTTAGTTTTAGAAGATTTTCAAAAGTACAGTGCAAAATATTGCGAAACTGCACACGCTATCTCAGCCTCCACGAAGCTAGAGTAAAATATTGGCCCCACTATTGCGCTGTCGCATTTCTCGTAGAGCTCATAAACATACTTTTTCTAGCCTGTTAAATATACTTTACCCCTTTCAAAGATTTGCGCTTGAGACTGCTTAGATCGTGTCAGATAGATTTTCCTCTGCTTTCAAATTGTTTAATTATAGTAGAGCAACAAATGAAGTAATTGATCGGCATAAAAGATCTTAAATCTGCCAGACGAAAATAAAATGAAGTTAATGAATGCAAATTTCGAAGTTATCACTACTGCATTATGCAAACATGTGCCCGTCAACAGTCACAGTTTTTATGCCGTCGCACTAACAATACTCCGAGTAGCAGGATAATCGTCGGCCACTTCAGCTGACGCTGAGTAAATCATCATACCTCCATATCCTTCTTGCCGACTAAACGTTTCCCACTCTGCAATAACTGTAGTATTTGGTCCAGGGCCGTATGCGCACCCTCCGCCCACGCACAGACCGATCGTAGCCAGTGAGAAGTTCCCACCGAGTTGTGTACCCCACGCAGCGAACGTCGTACTTACAGCAGCAGCATATATCGCTGCAGCAGTGGCATTGTCCAAGTTCACATTGTACGCCATGATGTTGACCCAGTCCACATAGTCCAACACGCCAGACGGGAAGCATCTCGAGTACGCTGCTGTCTCTTCCGCTGAGCACACCGACGCATCCCCTTCATAGAAATACGCATCGTACGTCAACAGAGCCGAGGTGCTACCGGTCGCATCAAGCGCTTCTCGTGTAGCCTTCAGCAATCCCACTGTTCGATTGGCACTAAACTGTGATCCAACAGTCTCGTCATCAAGATCCAGTCCGTCAAACCCGAATTTAGTCATCAAGGCGGCCGCTGATTCGGCAAACAGCGTGGCATTCGCAACCGCCGACATGTTGTCGTTATTTGTGGACCCTCCGATACTTCCCATCGTTAGTATACAGCGTTCACGAAGCTTCTCCACACACTGAGTGATGGTCGCATCGGAGGTCTGGAATGTTGGCACAATGACCCCGTCAGCGACGAGAGCGAAGCCGAAGACGACGTGCGTGACGCCGTCTGGGACGGTATCACAACCGGCCACTTCGCTCTGCCAGAACGCCACCGTCCGGTCTTTCGAATCTACAGGGGAGCAAGACGACGGAAGTGTTGACGAAGCTGAAGTGGAATTTCCTCCACTGTCAGTGTTTGATGCATCGTCGGAATCGGAACTCAAAGTCACTGCCACAATTACGATGACGATACCCAACACTAAAAGACCTGAAGGTGAAAAGAATTCGATATTTTGTGAATGGATGTTGGTGACCCTTTTTGACCACAAATGACACGAACGCACCACAAAGGAGCGGAACCAGTCGACGCATGAGTTTTGAGCGCTCTTTCTTCTTTGGAGCAGTGCGTTGGTTGTACGATGATGACAGGTACGGACCCATATTGTCCGGAGGGTAATAACATGCCGATGTCTCGGATGCGTCTTCGTAGTACCGAGGAGGTGAACGAACCATCGTTTATTGCTGTAAGTGAAGTCGTTCAAAAGCCACACTGAAGTCATATGGAGGCACATGGTGGAAGTCCAGTGTGGCAGAGGAATGGATGCAATCATGTGGCGAGCGCCACGAACATTGGGAGAGACGAACTTCTCTCCCGTGTATTTACCGGTACCGAATACCGTAACCAGTTTGCAATTTTTAAAGTATTAATCCTTTGTATTAGTAGTAAGATGATTCTAATAGATGAAATTTTAGTAAATTAGCACTTAAAATACTACATGTACCAAGTACCCTCCATTGACCTATGGCACGATTAAGTTGAGCAACAGAAAAGAGACAAAACAGAAATAATATTTCTTACTTAAATATTATTTAAAAAAATTAGAAACGAAAGACACGCGAGTAAGCATGTGAATCGAGTATCGTTTTGCAAGTTAAAGTTTTACAATTCCTATAGATCTGTGTACCAAACTCACATGATCACACCCGCTCTCATACAGCGTCTCGGCCTCGCAGCTTTTCGGCACCCAGGTCGCAGAAATGCACCAGCATCATTATAATGAGTCATTATTAATGACAATGTTGATGAATGTGGTTGCGCGACCTTTATGTGTCGACTGAATGTCGTAATAGCTTGCATGTGTGGGCTTGTTGCAGGAATGTACAATTAGCTTCGCAGTTTTTTGATAGTGCATTCAATGACGACATCCATGACTGACTGAGAGATAAATAGCTGTGTTGCTTCATACTGATCCTATTAATTTAGTGCAAGCAGGCTTTAGAACAAGGTGGTAACCTTCGTCATTTAAGCGGGGGGGTTTCCGTCTGCGCCAGACATTTTGTTCAGCTTGAGCAGCAGGGAAGATTCGCGCGAGCATTATACATTTCTGCGAATTACACTAGCAGTATCTTAAAAAAATATTTTCTACTAGCCACTGACACCACGATGCACAATTGAACTTGTTCAGGTAGCAAATAGATATGTATTATAAAAAGTATCCGGTGAGATAGATACTCCTATTTCCAAAGGCAAAATGATAAAAGTCGTCGTCAGATACGAGCTCGCCTACTTTTAGAGCACGGTAGTTCTAGCAAGGCTAGAAGAGTGGTGCAGAGCACACTCCGGCTTTTCCCGCGTTGCGAGAAAGCCGACCCGCCTCACCGCGCCCTTCAACTCACTGCTAAACATGCAACGACTTAAGCAAAAACATCCATCTTAAAGTGGTAACCCGCACCACCAAGACTTTTTATAGGACAGCTTTAATCTACACATTTGAACCCAAGTCTTTCTGTAGACTACTGTACTTCTCGCTCCCTCCCCCAGAATTTTAGGCCAGAAAACGAAAGGCGAAGACCCCCCCCCTCCAGCATTCTCCCAGAAAACGAAAGGCGAAGAAACGAATACACTACGGAATACTGTTATTGGTGCCGCTGGGACCTGTGTGACCGAAATCGCTTTGGTAAGCAACCGCTGGCAGACCCCGAAGTGATACAGCGACTGAGGCCAAATACTTGAGACGTTGATGTTGATAAGGTGGTTTATCACATTTACTATTCTTCAAAGCATGGCTTCTTCGAGAAAAGCCGTGCTATGTCTTTCCTCGCTGTATCCGAGAGCTTATACTAGCAGGATATAAAAAACCTGCGCGCGATTCAAGATCAGCTGACGACGATGAACCTGTGAGCGATCATCATGTGCCTGCTGCTAATATGTCTTCTTCGAGACCTGGTGGTGTAGTGCAGCTTCTGGTATTATGCGATAACGTCTCGAGCTCACTAACCGACGCGGTAGTCGTCCGTCGAATAATAATGATGCTTCAGTGATTAGCATCAAGATGCACCGGGTGCAGGCCTGAGTAGATGTTTGTCAGTGGCGTTCTTGGTGTGGAAGGCCAACCAATAGCCCACATTAGACAGGACAGTGTATAGCGATTTTCACCGAATCACCAGTTGTTTCCAGGCAGAAATCGACGTGATTATTGCTAAGCCAACCGCAACAAAGTGCCGTCAGGCGTACGCTGTTCTTTCCTTGCTGTTGTGATTGCTGCTTGCTGGGATCGTGTGAGGTCAGTGGGGATCACGAATGTATGCATGTAGTGTATTGACCGCATTGATTCCACTGGCAATGAATACTTCGCTCCTAAGGTACACGTCATCGAACTGGACACGATACCTGTCCACTTTCTCCAGCACAAATTTCGAGTTGGGTGTATTTCGTGTCCAAATCACAAGTTGTTCCAGTTTCACAGTAAGTCCCCTTGCATACTTGGGTACAGCAATGCGAGCTGATCCAGTTGCGAGTTTAGTTTGGGAAAGCTGTTTCTTCGTCACTCTGACCTTTCCTCGTTTCGGTTTCGGCATACTTATAGCCTCAACGTGACGAACAGATGCGGCTGACATTTGTGGTTTAGGGGTAACCTCCTTAGCGCTGAACGTGCTGACATTACAGGTGCTTTTGTTTGTCTCAACCTGCGAAGGTGAAGAGATGGGAGAAGGTGCCTCGCAATGCTGCTGCGTTGGTGGCATCTCGTCCTCGGAGTCCGAAATTTTCGGTGGAGCCATCCCGGGGTTGGAATGCAATCTTCGACCTCCTCCATTGGAATTTGGCAGTTTTTTTTTGCTGATGGTATGTTATTTGGGATGTCTAAATATTATATAGACAACTTGCTTTACTCTTTTACTTTTAAACCTTTAGTTTCTTTGAGCGCAATTTTTGCTTACTAAAACGCAAATCAACATACATCGGTAGAATCAATAGACGCAAAAGCATCAGTTCCGCTTCCATCGCAAGCGTCAACGCCACCCCGGCTTGCCGTAGTGCTAGTATTCACCGTAGAACGACTTAAGCCAATCTCAGCTGTTTCCTTCCCTACAGCTAGCTCCGGAAAGAAGTCAGTATCAATAAGCAGGATAGATGTTCGAGAGGAGGTTCAAGCATTGCTTTAGCGTAAGAATACTTTTCTGCCGACGACAATACTACTGGGTTGGCACGTTCCTCGCGCTGACGGCGCAGGATATCTTAAGGCGCTCTGCCGACAAATTTAGGAAGCGCACTATTAAAGGTCCATGGCTACTTATAATTCAGCGAAACTCAACACTACACGATTAAGTTTATATGTGTCAGCGTACGATTTGCTGGTCTAGCTCGCATTCAAAAACGTCTACACTTGCTTTAGAATGGGCAGTTGTCGCGTCATTTAGGGTGATCGGGAAGAAGTCAGCATTTATATACTTATAGCTCTGTAGGAAATCTGGAGCTTTCCTTGAAATGGTGTTTGTCTAAGGGTTAAAGGCGTTTGTCAGGGTTATTTCAAAGCAGCACTGGTAGATACTTAAGCTGTATTATCCCGTTCATCCACTGCCCTCTATAGAAGAATGGTCTGACCACTCCAATGACGCAAAGTGCTCATCGACTACGTAACAAATGTTGCATACCCTCATAGACTTCTAAGATACACAAAATATCACAAGAAAGAATAATAAACCACTCTAGTGCTTTCTAAACTTTTGAGGGGGCCCGAGGATGAGGAGGAGCACTTATGCGGAGAACAGGCCTGGTATCCAGCCGCAGCATCGAGTCGAAGTGTATTGCATTTTATAGAATAATATACCTCCCAAGGTCAACAAATAAATGAATGGAATTCATGCAGCTGAAAAAGGTAAGCAAATGTCCTGCTTTGGAGTAGTGACTAGTATTATCGTAGTCGTTAGAGCAGCTCAATGACTGTAATAAAACCTGACTTTGAAGAAGATAAGCAGTTAGTAGGATTTTTTAATCCTGAAGCTTCTCCAATGGAGAACTACTTGTAATCATTACTGTCATGTTGAAAAATGTAGGTGTGCTGATATTGTGGCAGCTTAATTAAAGCCCAACCTGACAACTATGTTTAAAACACAAAATGCACATCATTTAGCAATTTGGGTTTCTCGAGCTCCTGAAAGAACAATTACCACATCAGAGTGCAAGACTGGCGAAAACAGTTTTATTGTACACGCAACTAGTAGAACTTTGACTAGCGCTACTTTGATATGGCAAACCTAGCATCAATAATGAAGGCATAAAAGCCCATAACGCAGCAGAGCTACGACCCAATTGCTATCAACCCTACGCAGTATTGTGTTACTTGCCTGTTGGCATGATCTCTAATCACATTCCTGGTCGACCTATGCCTATCACGCCATGCCATGGACCAATTTCTAGTGTCATGGCATGGCACGCGTGGAAGTGGTAAGACCTGGTATGATTTCTTGGTGCTGTGGGCTGCAAGCGTTTGGATTGATCAGATGTAGTTTTACCGAATTTTAAGCCAATCAATAACTCAGAATCGCTGTAACTAATTTGTGTTACTTTTTTCTTGTCAAAACGCGTTGTCGGCTACTGCTATTTGATTGGCTTGCTAATTGCGGCGCTTGTCAAAAAATATTTTGAGAAATCATAGCTGATTCCCTATGTGCCTAAGTCGACTTCTTTAATTTCATAAATCTGGGTTTAATTTAGACCATTCGCTACAAAATGCGTTTAGAATCGAACCCAACCTACCGGTAGTGATAAACGACAACAAAAAAAACACAATAAGCAAGAGTTTATTATCCCGGCCAAAAAGGCTTGGACAAAAAAATAAAAAGTCAGGTGGTCTTGATGTGTTCAATCGTAATTAACCAACTATTAATAGTGAGTATTTTAGACGTGTTTGCCCTCCTTTAAAAGCTCGCTATCTAAACAAGCTGGTCAGCTATGCGTATATTGCGGCGGAGCAAGTTAAAAGGTGAGCTCGCTCACTTTCCTATCGACTTGATATACAGACGTTTCGACGGTATAAAAAGAGAGAGAGAGACAGTAAAACAATCTGCGACGTAATTAAATGTTTAAAACGTTATGGTATACAGCAGAGGTGATTGTTATATACTCCTTACGTCATGTGTCTTCGTTGACAGAATAGTACATGTATTGTAGACAATCTAAGTCGAAAACAATTTAGGCTGTGTAAAGTTTGTCACTTTGCGAAGGTAAGCGT